TTTCTCATTAAACAGTCAGTACACATATTGTTTTATTACATTGGTTAACAACCCCACAACATGTCAACACTCTCCCTTCTCAGCCTGGGAGGACTTTTTTTTTTTTTTTGGTGAAAATATACATAGCCAAAGTGACACCATTTTGAAATTTTCTGCATGTACAATTCAGTGACATCAGTTACATTCTTCCATGATATACAATTTTTAATGGCCGTAGCAGGATAAATTACTTCCATATCAATGACTTCACAAGTTAATACTACCATAAATTTATTTTTGTCACCAAAAGAATTATATGAATATTGTCTGAATTTGTCAGATAATTGTCTCTCTCGTCAGACCTCAGCAGCTTCTGGAAATTCAATTCAATATTGGAAGCCTCTGTGCCAACACAAACGACCCATCCTTTCAGTTAGCCCATGACGCTCTTAAGCCTCCTAGAAGGGGTGGTAAGAGCACTGCACAGTGATGGGTACAGTCCTTCCTGTACCTGGGAAAGTGGAACAGATAGTGAGCTTCCACTAAACAGGTAGAAACAACCCTTTTGATAACTGTCTATATCAAATTAATTGCCTCCTGTCCCGTCTATAAACTCCCACTCCATATCTGCTAGTTCTTCTTGAACTCTTTGTTTTTGCAAATCTTAGCCAGAGGCGTAGCTAAGGTATGGCAGGTATGATACATTGCCTGGGCACCACGCGAAGGGGTGGGGGGGACGCGCACCACCGAGCTGTTTCTATTAACCATCTCAGTTTCCACTGCCAGCTGTGAAAGATCATTCAGCAAGCTAAAACTAATATTTTCATATTTGAGGGACTCTATGGGTCAAGGCAGACTGTGTGATCTTGCTCTGCTGAGTGTAGAAAGAGAAGATACTGAAAAAAAAATGACTTGCATATCATAGACCAATTTTCATCGTGAAAGCAAGGAAAGTGCAGTTGTGATTTTCATGTAGTGCCATGAGGTGGTAAGTAAAAGATTAGCGAGTTTGACTTGTATTTTGGGGCTGATATTATGGCAAATTATCTAAAAGATGGATGTCAGATGTTTGGAGGGGCATAGTCATAGCGAGGGGTAGGGAGAGGGGGACACTTGCCCCTGGGCCCAACTCCAAGGAAGTGCCAGACAAGGCGCAGAATGACATTCCAAGGCACCACAAATATGAAAGCCGCCTGACTGAGGCAGCTGGGCACGAGTGGGGAAGGAGTTTCTGCTGAAGCATCTGCCATCAACATCTATTCATCTTGAAATGGGGAGGAGGGCACAACTTAGAGATTTCCCCTGGGCGCTCGTTATGGTCCCTATGCCTCTGCAGGGGCACAATTTCAGTGCTTTCCATAGGCACTCTTTTCAGTAGATATGCCTCTGTATACCCTAGAGTAGACATCTAAGGTATTTTCTACTCATCACATTTCCTTTTTCTAGAAATGATATCCCACACCCTCACCACCACTCCCATTAAACACTAATTATAGTGGGTTCTCCCTGGTTCTTATGTGATCCCAACCCCTGCCCCAGCCGTCATTGATTGGTTCCAGGGTGGGCATCTGATCCAAGTTGGAATAATTAGAGTCTGTAACAAAAAGAGTTAAGCTGCCACAACACAAAACCTGACAAACAATACCTTAAATTATTTTTTCTGATATAACAAGAAATTCCAAGGTAGGCAGCCCAGGGCTGCTCCATCTCCTTAAGGATATCATCAGGACCCAGGCTCTTCTACCTTCCTACTCTGTACAGCTTATCATATGAAGTTCATAATCTTGGTCACAAAATGGCTGCTGCCACTCCAGACATCACATGTATATTATAGCAGGGAAGAATTGAGGAGATGCTCAAGGGAAAATGTAAAAGGCTGAAGAGGCAGGCCAAGTGAGTCTGTCCCTTTTATAAAACTTTCTGGAATATCTGAGTGGTATCTATATCTCTGTGAGAGATTAATTTTAAAATTACTTCAGTTAACCCAAACTATCCCGAAGTTACCTTCTAGACAAAATAACAGATTGGTACACAAAATAAAGGATACTAACTGTAAGTATGGTGCTCCATTAAAAAACCATCTATATGAGATATGAGACCAAAAAGTCAATCATTACTCTAAAGCAAAGATGAGATGATAAGAGGGCATGGGAACCAGAGTACTGGAAATGCAACAACCAGAACACAATTAAAGAGAATGTTGACACATTGTGAAAAATGTAACTAATGTCACTGAACAATTTGTATAGAAATCAACAAATGAGAACCTAATTTGCTGTGTAAACTTTCACTGAAAACACAATAAATAGTTATTTTAAAAAAAGAAAAAAATTACTTCAGTTAAAGAAAAAGTGAGGAGTCAGCAACATCAAATTGCATTGGATATTTAGTCTATGCTTAGCTTTAAGAATCAACTGTATTAATGATTTATGAAAGCAGGTGCCTAAAAATTTTAAATAGAAATTCTAGGACTAAAATAGAGTAAAATTTTCAAAGATTTCACTTTTTTGCTAATTTTACTACCATCACCCTACCATCATCTCCATTAGAATTTCCAGTAAGTTACATGGAAGTGTGACAAGGCAAACACATCTGCTTAGCAATACCAAAAAAAAAAACCAAACCCATTGCCGTTGAGTGGATCCCAGCTCATAGCGACCCTATAGGACAGGGTAGAACTGCCTCCATAGAGCTTCCAAGGAGTGCCTGATAGATTTGAACTGCCAACCTTTTGGTTAGCAGACATAGCTCTTAACCACTATACCACCAGGGTCTCCCTCTTTAGCAACACTTTTTCACAATTAGCCTGCATTTCTGTACCTATCTGAAAGTAACGGAATTGAATCACTTTGATAATACATTTCTTAAGTTTGGTTCTTAAAATTTGGGAATTGGTGACAATAGTATAATTTGGTAAAACTAGAAGGAATTATATGATTGTGTGTGTGTGTGTGTGTGTGTGTGTGTGTGTGTGTGTGTGTGGCAGTAATGCTACCAGAGGGATGAAGTCAGAGACCCTTCTACTTCTCTCTAGAAAATGACAGACTAATATACCACCAGCAGGCCTAAAATCAGTGATGTTCAACAGGGCTTTAGGGGATGGAAGAGAGATGAAGCTCATAAGGATTGGGAGAAGCATGTAGAGTTAAAAAAATGATGTTTAATATACCTATACCTAGTGATTTTGTATAAAGCTAGACAGAATCTTTTTGTATAAAGCTGGTAGAGTTGTACAGAAGATAAAGTTATAAAGCAGTGCAGGACACTGGGTTTAAAAAACAAAAAAAGGATGAGAACCTCAACTGTATATCTCATGCTTTACAATTTATTTTATCCCCACTAGAATTTTGATGCTGGAGACTGCTTGAGTAGGGAAACATCTTTTTTTCCTACACTAACAAATAAAACAAGTGTAAGTACCCACTTGGAGATAATTTGAACCCCATGAAGATGATTCAAATTCACACTAACCAAACTGTTAAGGCCTTTCTCAGGGATGAAGACAGGTAGGGGGCTGGCGCCAGAGGAGGAAAGGAGGGAAGCCCATTGAAGAGGGAGCTAATGATGGTGGAAGGGCTGGAAACCCAGAAGCTAGCATGCAATTTGCTCAGGACCAGCCTGTGTGACTGGGCAAACCTTCAGATGGACTGTTTCTGCTTATTTTTTTTACTAACATTATGGGTATTCTCAGAACTAGGGCAATACTGAAAAGGGTTCTTACAGAAAAATGAGCCAAAGAGGTTCCTTTCAATTACCTAGGTTCATTTATCACCACCACCAGGCTCCCCGAGCTCCATCACAGGCACCCAGAAGAGGCAAACAACCCCTATTAGAGTGATAATTCTTATCTTTCCTTTCCTCCTCTTCCAGCTCAGCCTCCTCACAAGTTACGCTACAGATAAAAGCCTGTAGTTTTTCTTCACCCAAAGTAGTTTACTCCCTTCTCAATCCAGGCCTTTCCCTTCCATTGAATCTTAGCTGCCAGGTGTGGGCAGTCATGTCCATCCACTTAGAACTTAGAACTGCTCTATAGGGTTTTCAAGGCTGTGACCTTTAGAAAGCAGACTGCCAGGCCTGTCTTCTTAGGAATTCTCGGTGGGTTTGGACTGCCAGCCTTTGGGTTAGTAGTGGAGCATTTAACCATTTGCAACACCAGGGGACTCCCATTGGGATGGTCACATTAATAAAAAACCTGAGTATCATGCTAGCTTCTGTCCTCATGCCTTTAAAGTGTGTGCTGGAGGGGGAGACCGCAGGTGGAGAGCTGGATGGCGGGAGGGAGTGCAGATATTTCCCTGCCTCGGTTTATAGTTGTCAGGATAATGAAACGGAAGAAACATTTGGCAGTAATCTATAACTGTAGGATAATAAGTATTTTATACCTCCTATTTCTTAGCACCGAAACACCCAATTAGGAGTTTTAGGCTGGTTAAGTAAAAGAGTTACTTTGCTTCTCCTATTTCTAAAATAATCAGGTGGGCACTGGAGGAGCAATGTCTGGGAAGATTTTAGGTTCAGAACTGAGACGTGGACTTGATCGCACAGTCTCTTCCTAGGATTCTCTGAAGAGCCCTTTACCAATTTTTCCTACTCCCTTTAGAAATTAGCTCTTAGGTAAGGAGTTTCCCAGGCTCCGCCCCCTACAAGCTCCAGAAAGTCTAGGAGACCAGGACTGCAAACGAAGGGGCACTTCATAGGTATGGAGCAAGAACCTGCATTCTGCAAACTGAAAATTTAAGTCGGGGCGGGGGTCTGTCTCTGGCCATATTTCTGCTCGGGTCCCTCCTCAATCCCCCAGTCCTGCTTTGTCTTTTCCCTGTGGAAAAGAAACACCAGAGCCAAAGAACCTCTTTTATCTTCCCTTTAGCTTGCACAGCCCACTTGCACCCTCCGCACCCAGCTCTTCCCGTCGCGCCAGCCCTTCTGCGGCGGTGGATTCTTTATCGCCGGGGATGGGCAGGCACCGCGCCTGCAGGTGGCGATAAGAGCCGGAACTACAACTCCCAGCATCCCTCGCCACTGCCGGCAGCTGGACCCGGTAGTAGCTCTTCTCCGCTTAAATTTCCTTCTCCTTTTGCAGCTCGCTGCCGCTCACGCCTACCGGACTCAGGGTCTCGAGTCTGCAGCGCAGGCATTGCCCTGGGTGACAGCGCTGGGAGCATGGCCTTGCACCTGAGCAGACTGAGCGCCAGTTCCTGCTGGCGTGTGGCGCAGGGCAGCTGCGGCGCGCTGCGCGCTTGGCCCCAGCGGTGCGCAACCGGGCGCATCTGCCGGCTGCCTGGCACGGCTGGCACGGTGCATAGCCGCGAGCTGGGACACGGCCCCACAGCGCGGGGCGGCCCCAGGCTGGGGGCCGGGCTGACTGCGGCGCTCGCGGGGCTTGCGGGGCTGGCCGCCGCCGTCGGTTTCGGACATGTGGAGCGAGCGGAGATGGTGCCCAAGAGCACGGGGGCGCGGAGCCCCGAGCCGGAGAGGCCAGAGGAGCAGGACGAGCTGGCCCGCCGCTGCAGCTGCTTCATGGCCTCGCCTGTGACCGACCTGCGTGAGCTGCGGGGGAGGCCAGGCGACATGAAGACCAAGATGGAGCTGTTGATCATGGAGACCCAGGCCCAGGTGTGCCAGGCGCTGGCACAGGTAGACGGAGGCGCCAGCTTCTCTGTGGACCGGTGGGAGAGGAAGGAAGGTGAGGAAGTTGGCCCCTAGCGAGAGGTGGAGTCCGGGAAAAGCGGTCGGGCTCTAGGTTGCAGGCAGAAAGGGGCCCAGAGTAGAGAGATGGGGGTGAGAAGAGGGTATCCGACCGACCGGCGGGCTGCTTGGGAGGAACACCGTGAAAAAGATTGACACCGAAAGGATCGTCAGCCCTCTGCTTATAATTGTGGACCCAGACCTGCTGTCACTCTAGTTCTGGGCATTTGAAAATCTTCCAATTATATAATGGCATTATTAAAGGTATTTTAGGAATACTTGCAGCCATAGCCACAGTTTGCTATTGAAGGTAAATCTTCCTAACGTTTCATCTGTTTCTCTGCGTGCTTTACCTTTTCCACTCCTTTGGAGATAGAAGGGGGAATTCCTCCACGCTAAGTGTCAACTAGACTTCCCCAGGTAAGGGTGTCATTGTGTCAGAATCTTCCCACTTCTTTTTCCCGTTGCACAAGAAATATTTCATTGGTTTGTCAGTACTTCCAAATGCTCCCTTGAGATTTCCTGCCAGGAAAATGCTTCTCTTCCAATGCCAGAATACTTTAGTATTAAAAACCAGTTCTTGTGGAGTCATATATTCATGACCATATTAATTGCCTTTACGGTGAAACCCCACATCTTGGTCACACTCTGAAGGATTGCTGGCTTTTTCTAGCTGGGGATACTACAGCAGTTTGTCACTAGCAGATTCTGAGCTGTGATACTGTGACATCTATATTAAATGACATTAAATCTGGCTTTCATACTGTTTTCCAATCTTGAAATGTTTTCAAACGAAGACCAGTAAAGCAGGACACAACCTCAGGTCCTTGACTGTGTGGCCTTGAAAAGTTACCCTTTTTGTTTTTTTTCCTCTGTTTCCTCATTTGTGAATTGAGATAATACTATATAGGGGTATTAAATGATTAAATGGGATGAATACATATAAAACTCTTAGAATATTGTCTGACATACAGAAAGTGCTGAGACAAATTGTTTCAGTCACTTACTAGCTGTGTGATCTTGGTTAAGATGTTTTGCCTCTCTGGGCCTCAGTTTTCTTGTTTGGAATATTCAAGGATTGTATTGGATCATTTTATGTTCCGTCCAGTTCTAAAAGTTCATAGAAATAAAACAAACTGAGCATGCACCCTCATGAAACGGTTACCCCTCTGGAAACCCAAGTGCTTTTAACAAACAGCTTCTAACAGCTAGTAACAGCATGGCTAAATACTAGTGGGTGTCTCAGTCATTGTAGGAGTCCCTGGGTAGTGCAGTTGGTTAATGTGCTCAGCTGCTAACTGAAAGGTTGGGGGTTTGAGTCTACTCAGAGGAACCTCAGAAGAAAGGCCTGGTGATCTAATTCCAAAAAATTAGCTATTGAAAACATCATTCTATTCTCACACACATAGGATCTCCATGAGTCAGAATTGACTTGACAGTAATTGGTTGGTTCACTTATTGTAAGGTTCTGAATCCTTAGGAGTTCTGATAGCTACTGTTTTTTAGTTGCCTGTGAACAGAATTAAAAGGCCAACAGCACACTGAGGGGAAAAAAAGTGAAACACACTAGAGACCCTAATACATGGCATAAATACAATACAAACCATAACTAACAACGCACAAACACCAGGAGATAAACTAGATAACTGGGAACTCCTAAAAATTAAACACTTACGCTCGTCAAAAGACTTCACTAAGAGAATAAAAAGAACCTACAGACTGGGAAAAAATTTTTGGCTGCCACATATCTGACAAAGGTTTAATCTCTAAAGTCTATAAAATACTTCAACACCTCAATAACAAAAAAAAAAAAAAAAAAAACAAAAAATGGGCAAAGGATATGAACAGACATTTCACCAAAGAAGACATTCAGGTGGCTAACAGACACGAGAGGAAATGCTCATGATCATTAGCCATTAGAGAAATGCACATCAAAACTACAGTGAGATACCATTTCACCCTGACATTACTGGTACTAATTAAAAAAAAAAAAAAAGAACAGAACAAATGTTGGAGAAATTGTGGGGAGATTGGAATTGGAACTCTTATGCATTATAGGTGGGAACGGAAAATGGTACCACCACTACGGAAAATGATATGGTGTCTCCTTAAAAAGCTAGAAATAGAAATACCATACTACCTAGCAATCCCACTCCTAGGAATATATCCTAGAGAAAGAAGAGCCATCACATGAATAGACATATGCATACCCATGTTCATTGCAGCATTATTCACAATAGCAAAAAGATGGAAACAACCTAAATGCCCATCAACAGATGAATGGATAACAAATTATGGTACATACACATAATGGAATACTACGCAACAGTAAAGAACAATGATGAATCCACAAAACATTTCACAACATGGATGAATCTGGAGGGCATTATGCTGAGTGAAATAAGTCAGTCACAAAAGGACAAATATTGTATGAGACCATTATTATAAAAACTCAAGAAAATGTTTACACACAGTAAAAAATGATCTTTGTTAGTTACAAGGAAAGGAGAGGTGGAGAGGGGAAATCACTAACTAGATATTAAACAAGTGTTAACTTTGGTGAAGGGAAAGTCAACACAATATGGGGAAGTCAGTATAACTTGACCAAGGGAAAGTTAGAAAGTTCGTAGACACATCCAAACACCTTGAGGGACTAGGGCTGAGGGCTGGGGACCATAGTCTTGGGGGACATCTAGGTCGATTGGCATAACATAGTTCATAAAGAAAATGTTCTACATCCTACTTTGGTGAGTAACATCTGGGGTCTTAAAAGCTTGTGAGTGGCCACCTAAGATACATCTATTGGTCTGATGCCATCTAGAGCAAAGGAGAATGAAAAACGCCAAAGACACAAGGAAAATATTAGTTCTAAGGACTAATGGACTACATGAAGCAGAGTACCTGGCTACCACCACCGACTGCTCTGACAGGGATCACAATAGAGGATCTCGGACAGAGCAGGAGAAAAATGTAGAACAAAACTCAAATTCACAAAAAAAGGACCAGACTTACTGACAGAGACTGGAGGAACCCCCGAGACTATCGCCCCCAGACACCCTACTAACTCAGATCTGAAGCTACTCCTGAAGTCCACCTTTCAGCCAAAGATTAGACAGGCCTATGAAGCAAACAACAACACATGTGAGGAACGTGCTTCTTAGTTCAATCAAGTATACAAGACCAAATGGGTGACACCTGCCCAAAAGCAAAAGGCAGGAAGGAACAGGAAAACTGGACAAATGGACATGGGGAACCTGGGGTGGAAAGGAGGAGGCTGACACAATGTAGGGATTGCAACCAGTGTCACAAAACAATTTACAAATTTTTGAATGAGTTCCTAGTTTGGGCCGTAAACTTCCACCTATAGAACAATAAAATTTTTAAAAATTTAGACAATATTGGAGTTCTTAAATTCAGTAATAGTGGAATTCCCTTCGAATATACCCATTCCTGTTTTTATCCTTAGCCTTCTCTCATACATCATAATTGATGGATGCCATTCTGAGCAGCAGCATTTGAAGGAAATATTCTAGTGCTTTATTGTAGCCGACAGCATAAGAATGTAGAAGTATTCAGTTTAGAGTGGTGAAGAGGCATAAGCTTTGCCCAAGTATCGGTCGCTAATATCATAAAGTTAAATTAGTTATCTAATTTTATTGTATTTAAAAACCATGAATATAATGATACTTTAGAAGATTTGGAAACTAGAGGAAGAAAATAACTCCTAATCCCACCACCTTCATGCAAGCACTGTTTTCAGTTTTGTATACACCCTTACATTGTCTCCCCATTTTGCGTTTATGTAAATAGGAGGTGGTGGCATAAGCTGTGTGCTTCAAGACGGTCGTGTCTTTGAAAAGGCTGGAGTGAGCGTCTCTGTTGTTCACGGAAATCTTTCTGAGGAAGCATCAAAGCAAATGAGAAGCAGAGGGAAAATGCTGAAGACTAAAGATGGTAAATCAATTTTAACAGCTTTTAGCAGTCCATGCAAACCTTTTTTTCCCCTACAAGTCTTATTATAAAATAAATCTTGCTTCTGAAAAGTGCCATTTGAGTACCTATGCTAGGTTACATATTAGTAATTACTTTTTGAGGAGTAATTGGTAGTTCAGTGGTAGAATTCTCGCATACCATGTGGGAGACCCAGGTTCGATTCCTGGCCAGTGCAGCTCATGCACAACCACCACCCATCTGTCAGTGGAGGCTTGAATGCTAGTCTGATGCTGAACAGATTTCAGTGGAGCTTCCAGACTAATGTAGACTAGGAAGAAAGGCCTGGTGATCTATTTCTGAACAATCAGCCAGTGAAAACGCTATGGATCACAATGGTCCGATCTATAACCAATCATGGGGATGGTTACAGGACTGGGCAGCGTTTTGTTCAGTTGTGCATGGGGTTACCATGAGGCAGGGGCAGATTTGATGGTAGCTAACAGCAATTACTTTTAAAAAATTATATTTAACAGGTAATTTAAAATCTTCTGTTGAAGATTGATCCAGAAACCACATTGGAGTTAATTTGTATGAATCCAGGTGTTTGCCTGCAGCTCACTATGCGTTTTACTTTACAGGTAAATTGCCATTTTGTGCTATGGGCGTGAGCTCTGTTATCCATCCCAAGAATCCTCATGCTCCTACCATCCATTTCAACTACAGATACTTTGAAGTAGAAGAAGCAGATGGTAAGGGTTGCTGGTGCTGTGGAAACTTACTGTGCAAAATATGTATTTTAAAACAGATGAAAGGGCATAGGATCTAAAACTGAGAAAGAGTAAACACAGTCTTACCAGGTTTTTCAGACAGCACTTAAAAATTTATTCCTGGGCAGATGTACTAAATTATGCCATAGACATGAGAAGTAAGAAGGGTAGTGTCTGGACTCTGATCTCCCCGTATTTTCTGCAGTATAATATAGTAATGTTGGAGCACACACTGGGTTCTTTGCAAATATAAATTCATTACACCCAAAGGAAAACCTCATGTATGAGGTTAAGATGAAATTGAGAACCTGCTTTTGGAAAGTATTTTCTAGATGCATAGCATTGCCAGTCACCAGTGTGTTGTCAGGGGTTTAAACGGAGTGCGGTTGATCATGCCTTATGGCCATGTGGTTCCAGCCTGTGTCTCCCATCAGTGGGGCCAGCTGTCACCACATGTCAGAGCATCTGTGCAACGCCACACCTAGACCTCTTGATGTCTCTGCAGTCAGTGGCATTTAAAGTTACTGTTGTAACTTTTCATTTCGAAATCATTCAGTTTGTTCAACCTTTACATGTTTAAAAGTTGGTAACTGGCCCTGATGGGAGTTCCTGGGTAACAAACAGTTAAGTGCTCAGCTGCTGACCGAAAAGTTGGTGGTTCACATCCACAGAGATGCCTCAGAAGAAAGACCTAGTGATCTACTTTCGAAAGGTCACAGCTATTGAAAACCCTATGGAGCAGGTTATCATGAGTCGCAGTTGACTCCAAGGCAACTTTTTTTTTTTTTTTTAAACTAGTACTGACAACCTATAGACCTAAGTAAGCACATAAAAATAGTCGTTCTCAAATAGTTAAGTTACCTCCCTCCATAAATGTTCTAGTGGGAAGGGGGAGGTGGTAGCAGTGGTTCTTTATCCAGGGAGCATCAGAATCTCCCGGGGAGTTTTTATACTATAGATGCTTGGGTCTTACACCCAGAGATGTGATTTTAATTGAGATCTAGCAGAGGTATATGCAGCCAGAGTTGAGATCCACTGTCTGGTCCAGTGTGTGGTGTTTATCATTCACTGTCACGGGCATTATCATTCCCCTGCCCTGTGTATCATTTCTACTCTCTCACTTTTTAATTTCTTACTTCTCTTTTTCTTTCTGCCTCTACCTCTTCTTTCTTTCCTGCCTAGGCCTTACCAGCCATTTAGGGCTAGAGACATTGTTCTGGTTTTTGTTTTTTTTGATTGTCACTCATTTCATGCTTAATAAATTTAAGCTGATAAGTTAATTTGCTAATATGATTAATAGTGTGCTGAATCTCAAAGTCCACATCAGAATCATATGTCTTGACTCGGTAGGTAACAAGCAGTGGTGGTTTGGTGGTGGATGTGACCTTACTCCAACATACTTGAACCTAGACGACGCTGTCCATTTTCACAGAACTCTAAAGAAGGCTTGTGACCAGCATGGTCCAGATCTGTACCCCAAATTTAAAAAATGGTAGGTGACGGTATTGAACTTACCATGATTCTAAAAGTATATTCCGTTTTTCTCTGTGGGTCCCAAAGGTAACTATTCTGTTACTAAACACCTTTTTCAGCTTGTGAAGATGGAACTTTGCTCACCAGAATTGGAATACCAATCTTAATATGAGGGGTTTTAATAAATTAGTTATTTAGAAATATGTGTATGTCTATAACATACATTGGAAACCCCGGTGGCACAGTGGTTGAGAGTTCAGCTGCTAACCAAAAGGTCAGCAGTTTGAATCCACCAGTCACTCGTTGGAAACTCTATGGGGCAGTTCTACTCTGTCCTAGTAGGTTCGCTCGGAGTTGGAATCGACTCGACAGCAATGAGTTTTGGTATAACACAAATTGGGCAGCAGCATCTTTTTTTGATCCCAGATGATTTAGAATGGTAGAATAGAAGCCTTACAGAGCCTTACAGAGGAGTGATCTGTGCCTGAGGATGAGGGGCTTTAGAACTTAGGGTGGTATAGTCACCATCCCAGATGAGTGCAATTGTCCTGTTATTGCCATGGGAATCCATTTGTGCGTGGAAATGATCAGAGAACTGAGGACTGAGGGTGGGTGCAAATATACTAGAGATTTTGACAAAGAGAAAAGTGGAATTGAAGACTTTTGTTAAAAGTAAAGGAACTCTAGTGATAAAGTAAGAAAAGAAAAAGAAACAGGAATATGTGGTAGATGGATCTTGGCATAAAGGAGTAAAGTACTCAACACTGCTTAGAGCTGATTGGCATTCTTTACTAAGGAAAAACAGAAAGGCTTTTGGGTTTTGTTTTGTTTTTTTTTTTGCTTTGCTTACAGTGCTAATAGTTGGGGAAGATTGATGTTATTTATGCAACAGCATGGATTTCAGCTTTAAAATTCTCAGAAAAAATAAAAACACTTGCATATTCTCTTGATTTAACATTAACACTGAAAAATACGTAGCCATAGACACATGCATATCATATGCAGGTTTTTTTAGTGTTTTTTTTTCCTCTGTCCCACAGACCAGTATCCTTGCAGGGGAACTGGTGGGTAGACATTTCCTTCTTGGCTTACTCTTCCCAGCTGTTAGTGAAAGACTTTAAACATGACTGCTTAATAAAATATCTAAGAGTAGGGTAGTTAAAAAGTTTTTAGTGTAAGTATTTAGTAAAACTCTTAATTTTATAATCTCGTGAAGGGAGATTTTGAAATAATAGGATTGGGCTTAAAAGTTGATGTCAACCATCTTGCTCAGGTATACTTTCTTAACTAAATTAATACAATGTTCATGTACAGGAAAGCCAACAATTCACAACTGGGGTGAATTTTACCACCGCATCCATTCTAGGGATTTGCATATGCTTGCTGCCTTGTTTTGTTTTATTTAAGCAATCAAAGCTGTTTTTAAGGTGACCTTTGAAATTGCTTTTAGTTTTTGTTTGTACAGGTTTTTATATTTTGGAGCCCTTATATAGAGATCATCAAAAGAACTATATTTCCAAGATGTAAATTATTCTACAAATTTAACACTTAGGGAATAGTTTCTTAGGAAACCCACTCTAGTGGGCAAAGATAGGAAAGACTCAAGGACGCATGGATCATTTCATGTGCCGACTCATTTGGGCAATGTTGGATATGACTGAAGACTCTTATTCTCTCAACATTTCCTTCCCCCAGCTCCTCCCACCGTCATGCATGCCATAAAACCAGACAACCAAACCCGTTGCCATCGAGTCGATTCTGACTCATAGCGATCCTATAAGACAGAGTAGAACTGCCCCATAGGGTTTCCAAGGAGCAGCTGGTGGATTTAAACTGTTGACCTTTTGGTTAGCAGCTGATCTCTCAACCACTGTGTCACCAGGGCTTCATGCATGCTATCAAGTTGTCAAATTTTATTGCTGACAGAAACCTCAGAGATTATTTACCATACCTCTCTTTGGTGAATAGAAAACTGACTCTAGAGAGTTCAGGGGTTTGCAGCCAGTCACAGACCTGGTTGGTGTCATTATTGGTTGAGAATTCCTGTCCCCCTGCCTCCTGCAAAAGCAGCAGTGCTTATGAGGGCAGCAGCACCACTTGCTTCAAGAAATACGGTATTAATATTGGACTTTTGATTTCTGTTTTCACTAAAAGTTCTTAGAGTTTCATACCCTTTTGATAGACTTAGCCCTGGTGGCATAGTGGTTAAGAGCTCGGCTGCTAAACAAAAGGTCAGCAGTTCGAATCCACCAGCTGCTCATTAGAAACCCTATGGGGCAGTTCTGGTCTGTCCCGTAGGGTCAGTATGAGTTGGAATCGATTCCACAGCAACAGGTTTGGGTTTGGTTTATTTAGATAGACTTATGTTAAATTGCCTTGTTGCTTGGCAGATAAGAGTATAAGCATTTTCTACATTGAAAATATCTGTAAGAAATCTATCTAAAACCCTAGTTTCTTTATCATAGTTAGAAGTAAAGGAATCAAGGATAGTGCTCTAAACAGAAATGTTCACATTGATTTTTCATGTCTTTCTTTTCTTCCCTTTGGCCCCTGATTTTGCCTTGTTGCATTTCCAGGTGCGATGATTACTTTTTTATAGCCCATCGAGGAGAGCGGAGAGGCATCGGGGGGATCTTTTTTGATGATCTTGACTCTCCATCCAAGGAAGAGGTGTTCCGCTTTGTGCAGAGCTGTGCCCAGGCTGTAGTCCCTTCTTACATTCCCCTTGTGAAAAAGCACTGTGATGACTCCTTCACTCCCCAGGAGAAGCTGTGGCAGCAGCTCAGGAGAGGCCGGTGAGTGACACGAGAATAAACAGTCTTCTTGCATAACTGGGGGAAGTGTAGCAGCAGTAATAATAGTGGCTGCTTTGCTGCTTGGACAGATACTTTGTAATGGTCTCCTTATTACCCTAGTTATTTTTCATAAGTAGGTGAATATTGAATTATGTTAAATGAATATTAAAGGACACATTGTATACAATAGTATTATAAGAATAAAAACCACTTGCTGTCGAGTCCCACTCATAGCGACCCTATAGTACAGAGTAGAACTGCCCCATAGAGTTTCCAAGGAACAGCTGGTGGATTCGAACTGCTGACCTTTTGGTAGGCAGCTGAGCTCTTAACCACTGTGCAACCAGGAATAGCAAAGTTTATTTAATTCATCTATACATACATTAGAGACTCATAGTAGGCATGTAGTAAATACTTACTGAATCTAATTCAGCTGATTTCTTTTGGTTAGTCTTCTAGCAATACCCGCCAGCCTTAGGCCAAGACATGATCATCATTTCATGTTTTTGCTGCTTGGTAAACTTGGAATCACACCTCTTTTCATTCATCTTAAAGGTTTCATGAATGTTTTAATTGAAGTAATAATTTCAAAAATTATTTATACTTAAGAATAATATTTATAAATTATGGAGCCCTTACTATGTGCCAGATAATATTTTAGACACTTTGAATCTAATTTTCTCAACAAACTAATGAGATAGGTGTAATTATTACCATTTTACAGATGATAAAATTTAGAAAGGTATATCCCTTGCCCAAGATGACACAGCTGGTGGATCTAAGACCCTAGATGTGGAACTAGGACATCATGACTTCCAAACTTACAACCTTTCCTGCACTCAAAGGAAGTTAAGTAGTTGAATCAGTTTGTGTGTCTCACTATGGTGCTCGTTTTAGCCAGCCTGCTCTGTGCATTGAGTTCGGTGAGCTCAGTTGGGTGACCAGTCTGAGGTCATCTTCAGCAATACGTACTTGTGAATCAGCTTCAAGTTTTCCACACAGCTGGACTATGTCCGTTTCCCACTGCCATCTTAGTTGCATCTATACTACTAGTCCTTGGCCTATAAAAGGGATTTTCTCATTTAATGTTAATTCTGTCTCAGGGGTAAGAAATGTTGGGTACTTAAGAAGGTAAAACTATTGCTCTGAAATGGCCAACTTAAATCATGTTCCAAAACTAAAGAGAAATGATTTTTGTGTTTGCCTATATTATCTGGTTCCCATTTATAAACTTGGATAAGTGAGAGTTGATTAAGTTTTCTTTTTAGAAATTTCTGAAACAATGCATATGTTTTGGGACATGTTTGTTTTTATTTGTTTCCGTCATTCTTAGATATTTTCTATCACTCCTTCCTTCCCTCACCCTACTTTTATGGTGTGACTCTGTGATCAGGCACTCTGCTGGCTGCAAAGGTGAGCATGAGATGGATCTTGCCAAAAAGAACCCCACAGTTGAGTGGGGAAGACATACTTAAAAGGATAATTTAAAACTCTATGAAAATGCGGTTCTAGTTTTGTACAAGATTTCATATGCAAAACTGGTGGATTTTTTTGAATACTAATGAGGTAAAGCCTTTATAATGTATAAAACTTCTTAGACATAGGAGTAATTTTTTTTATTTTTTTTATATCATTTGATGACAAGGTGTTTTTTTTTACATGTATTTTTTAGAGCAGTTTTAGCTTTACAGAAAAATTTTGCAGAAAATACAGAGTTCCCATATACCTCCTCACCTGTGTACACAGTTTCTCCTGTTATTAATGTCTTACATTCCTGTGGCACATTTATTACAATTGATGAAGCAATGTTAATACATTAACTAAAGTCTACAGTTTATATTAGGATTCATTCTTTGTGTTGTACAGTCCTATGGGTTTTGACAAATGCATAATGATACGTTTCCACTGTTGCAGTATCATGCAGAATACTTTCATTGTCTTATAAAATGCCCTGTGCTCCACCTACTCATCCTTCTCCCCTTCCCCCGAAGCCCCTGGCAATCACTGATCTTTTCACTGTCTCTAGTTTTGCCCTTTCCAGAATGTCATATAGTTGGAATCATAGGGTATGTAGCCTTTTCAGACTGGCTTCTCTCACTTAACAGTATTCATTTAAGTTCCTCCACGTGTTTTCATATCTCGGTAGTTCGTTTCTGTTTGTCACTGAATAACATTCCATTGTATGAAGGTACCACAGTTTGCTTATCCAGTCACCTGTTGAGGGTATCTTGGTTTCTTCCAGTTTTTGGCGATTATGAATAAAGGTGCTATAAACATTTCACCTGTAGGTTTTGGTGTGGACATAAGTTTTCAATTTATTTGGATGACGAGGCATTCTGAAAGTTACATTTGTGGGGTATATCATTGCATGTCTGGTGTCTTTCGAGTTAGGCAGAAACGTGGGGTGTTAGATTAACTTTCTGTGGTGTGGTGTGGTGTGTGACTGTTGTTCAAAGTGAGCCTTGCTTCTGTTCTGTCTCCCTTATCTCTGAGCTTTAGGATGGTAGTACCTTCTGCGGTTTAAGATTACCCCAGCTATTTACTGGGGTTATCAGCACTGTCTTCGCTTTCTTATACTACGTTCCTAACCCCCTATCTATATCTCTTCCCTACTCCCCTCACCACAAAATATGAGTTTGCTTTGCAGTGGCTAGCCTGGTTCCCTTTTGACTTTACAGTCTCTTATTTGGCAGTTTTATCTAGTCTTTTGCCCTCAGTTACATTCCCTAAGCCCTTGAACTTCACTTTCATAGTCACTTTTTTCGTAGGAGAATAGAAACTAAAGGTGTTGACTCGTTTTTGTTGTTTTTTTTTGGGGGGGAAGGAGAAACAGGATAATATTTGGAGCATTAGTTACGTTAAAGGGAATGGTTAAAGTCCATAATTCACAGGCAGCTCAGAGAGGATAAATGTAAGGGAAGGATCAGAAATTCAGATCTAAATTGAACCCGGTGGGAGTCAGAGAGTTTAATGTAGGGAATGTGGCATCATTCACTCAAGAAACAAAAGGAGGCAGGGATCCTACAGGTTGATCACAGGATAGAAATTAAGTGAGCCAGAGGAAATTAATTTAGGGAGCTCCTTACAAGGGTCTGTGAGGAAGGTCTTTGTATATATTAGTACAAACTAGAGAATCATGACCCTCCCTTAGAGATCATGTTTCAGAAAGGTAAGATCAGGGTTAACAAAAAGGTGGCCAAAAGACTGAAATTCCCTTCCAGAGTCTTGGTGAGGAAGAAGTTGGGAAGCTTCTCTTAAATTATCTTTTGTAACAGGCATGAGGTAGGTATTAGTTACTAGTGCACAAAATTCAATCAACGGTAAATAAATGATGAAGGCTAAGAAGGGATCCATGGATGCATTTTGTTTAAATTTTTATAGAAAGGTCTTTAAAAAAATTGAAGTGCTATGGGATTCTAGAAAATATTTTGATTCTGTGGACTTAAAGAAAGGAGCCCTGGTGGTGCAGTGGTTACGTGCTTGGCTGCTTACCTAAAGATTGGAGGTTCGAACCCACCAGCTGCTCCACGGGAGAAAGATGTAGCAGTCTGCCTTCCATAAAGATTTACAGCCTTGGAAACCCTATGTGTCAGTTTGTCCTATAGAGTCGCTATGAGTTGGAATCGACGCGACAGCACCGGGTTGGATTTACAGACAGGAGCCAGTGGAATAAATGTTAAGATCTAAGAAAAGTTTAGACCAAGAGAGTAGTTTCTGAATGAACTGAGAAATGATCTGAAAGAGGAACTATTTAGTGAAATTTTTAGATCTGTGGATCATTCTAAATTCTTTTGGGTAGTAGTAATTATCCTTTTGAAATTGAGGCAGACAGACCATTTCACAAAGTATACCCTGAAGTCAAAGGCAGACATAGACTCTAGGCTGGATGGAGTCTATGTAGATCTGACTCTGTGGCAGTTAATAGGAAACTGAGAGCTTGGCTACTAATCAAAATGTCAGCAGTTCAAATCCACCAGCCGCTCATTGGAAACCCTATGGGGCAGTTCTACTCTGTCCTGTAGGATAGCTGTGAGTCAACATCGACTTGACAGCAATGAGTTTAATGTGTTGGACCAAGTTTTTGCTGATGTTAAGGATAGTTTTCTAAAAAACTAAAAACTGAGCACTGTAATGCAAACACTCCCTTTTGAGTACAATTATTAATATGCAGGAAGATTGGATTATATGACTACTTGTTGATGCACTTAACTACTTTAAGAAAAGGGGAGTCTCAGGATATATTAGTAATTATTAATACATTACTGTTAGCTATACTTGGTTTTTCAATTATAAATGTTTTATACTGTCTTAGTGAAAGTACTTGTGAGTTATAGACAGTGAAATGAAATCTTGACTCTGAAACATCTCAGACTATGGGAAGGGCCAGCAGGAGCTGTGCTATCCTGAGAAAGAATGACAGTTTTTGTTTTTTTTTAAATTGTCCTTGTGCCTTCAGGTTTGCAGCTTTGTGTCCATTCTGTTTGTTTATTGGAAAACATAACCTTCTTGTTTCATAACTTTCTGTGCTGGGGCAGACTCTATATCCTTTTGTTTGGTGGGAGAATACCCTTTTATTCATGCTCGTCCAGATGGAGAAAACACAACTAGCCAAATACTGGCGTTCTCTGAACCAGTTCCAGCTGACTGGGGAGGGGGCAGAGGGGAAAAGCCCTCCTCCCCTTAAAGTATTTATTATGAGCTAATCTTAAGATTTTACTCTGCTGACCCTTAATATTATTGATGTCTTTATGGCAGGTATGTGGAATTTAACTTGCTGTATGATCGGGGCACAAAGTTTGGCCTCTTTACTCCAGGATCCAGGATCGAAAGCATCTTGATGTCTTTACCTTTAACTGCCCGGTAAGGAGATAATTTACAGTAGTTATTCCTCCTCTCCTTGATTCCCTGTCCCCAACAGAATATGAAAGTTAACACCCCAAATGTCTTACCTCAGACTTAGTTGAACTTGATTTTGCTGATTTTATAGGAAAATCAAGATCAAATAATTATGGAAAATCAAATTGGCTTTTTAAGGGGTGAAGGATGAATGGCCTGGTGTTGTGTGTGAGAACAGGGGGAGCATACGAGTGGGAAGTTAGGGTGGTGGTGGTATCTAAGGAGGCCAAGTTAACGTTCCCGGTACCTGGGAATTTTCTGGGAAGAGCTGTGGGCAAAGCAGTTTATTTGAATACATCAGCTTTTTAGACTTTATTAGAAATTAATGTTCTTGGTAGAAACATCTGACTTTCCAGGATGAGGTATTATACTTGTTTAAAAGCATGAGGGGTAATTCAGGCACACAGCTTTTTCTCTGTGCTTTACGTACTGCTCTAGTGGTCATCCGTAAACGCTCGTTGAATTTGTTTGGGGAATTTTGAAGCCACGTATATATTTATATTGGTGCTGTTAGGTTGAGGGTATTAAGATCTGCAGTTGTGTTCTTGGCTATAACAAAGTCAGAATTATGTGTGTCCAGACTGAAAGATCAGAAAAAAATTACATAGCTTTTTTATTAAGAAACTTAATTTCTTTTGTTGTTGTTGTTATGTGTTATCGAGTTGATTCTGACTCATAGCAACCCTATAGAACAGAGGAAAACTGCCCCATAGGGTTTCCAAGACTTTAATGTTTATGGGAGCAGAGCACCAGGTCTTTTCTCCCGTGGAGTGGATGATGGGTTCCAATCGCCGACCTTTCGGTTAGCAGCCAAGCACTTAACCACTGCACCACCATCACTCGCATAATTTAAAAGTCTAGTGGGTGCAAGACACATTAGGCACAGTGGAGACAAAGACGTGTAAGGCATTTTTTACTCTTTTAGAATTTCCTATATTTAGAAACTTTTCATTTATTTTGAAATAAAAAGTAAAGTATGTGTGTCCTTTATTACTTTTATTATTATTACATTTCTTCCCTTCTGTTTTGGTCCTGCACAGATGGGAGTACATGCATTCACCCTCAGAGAATTCCAAAGAAGCTGAAATTCTGGAAGTTTTGCGCCACCCAAGAGATTGGGTGCATTGATGGCAGGCAGAGCAGCCATGCTGGGGCTTGGGGGACACAGGGTGTGTGCCCCCTCCCCCTGGCTGGCATGTGGCCACTACAGAGCAGTTTGGTACCCGTGCCTTCGTGTTTCCCAGTTTTCTTCACTCTGGGCCTACCTCCTTTGCAGGGGGTAAAATGTGTTTTAAACACCAACTTCCTGGTGGATGCTGTCAGTGTTGGTCTATGAGATGGCAAATTGTTTGTTCTTTAGAGCCATTTAGTCAATATAAAAACTTGTTTATACTTCTAGAATGGTTTTATATGACTAGTTTATGAAATATGACATTGAATTTATAAGTCCTGAATAAAGAGAATCTAAATATTATAATTATATCATGAAGCTTCTCATTTTTTTTGTTTTCATATATTTTTTAAAAGTTTTCATTTTTGCCACAAAAATCTCCACACTGGGATAAATTTCATTTTCATTAATTCAGTGAAATTGAGACTTACTAGTAATTTTAGGAAGTAGCTTGAAACTGAGATAAAAGTTTTACTTTGTCCTTCCTAAAGTTTCTTGGATCATCGTGCTTATATTTTATATCCCCCTGGAAACCCTGGTGGCATAGTGGTTAAGAGCTCGGCTGCTAACCAAAAGGTCGGCAGTTTGAATCCACCAGGTACTCCTTGGAAACCCTATGGTGCAGTTCTACACTGTCCTATAGGGTCACTATGAGTCGGAATCGACTTGACGGCAATGGATTTTTTGGTAGAGACCAAAATATTGGAAAATAAATATTCATTTTTTTAACTATATATACTTAGGAAAACTTGATATTTTCCTAGTCTCTGCATGTGGTTCAGTTCAATGATTACCTATAGTTATTAACCTCTAAAGTGACATTATTGGTATTTAAAGATGTCTAAGTTGTAATTTTGACTTTTGTAGAACTATACCATATTTTTGTGCAAATAACACACGCTTCCTATGTTTGTTTACCAACCGCGCCCTCCCCCTGAGGTATTTTTGTAAGCACACTATGCTAGCATGTAAAAAAAAATGGGCGTAGTGGCACTTATGAAAATACTTCGCGGGGGAGGAGACAGTTGGCAAACAAACATTGGAGGCGTGTGTTATTTGTGTAAAAATATGGTAATTTGTTAATGTTGGTATTCTCTGTACTGTTGAATGTGAAAAGTTATATCCCTGGATTCTGATACTTAAAATTTTCTATTCTAGACATTTCTGTATGGAAGTTTAGACTAAAAATAATGCTGGGAAAGTTGTGATTTTAGAAAAGTTTCTCATTTTGGAAATGAATTGGAATGAAATTACCATCTTTCTCAAAATAGAGTTTCTGCAAAATGGAGATTCTTATCTTTGCTCTTAAGAGAATATCACAACAGAATTTCTAATGTGTAGCTTCTTTGTTCATATGATAATGTGAGTATATTGTTTTGATTTATAAGTATTGAAATTTCTAGGGAACAGTATCTTCTACTTATTAAGAATTGTTTTGGAATATGTTGAATATATGTTACTGTGTGTGACTTTTTAGGGCTAGAAAACGTATGAAGCTTAGTGTACTCTGATTCTTCAACTGTTTTACAACAGATCCACTAATAAATTTTATTACAAATAAGACTAAGAAGTGTTTGCATTCTTCCTTTTTGTCATTATAATTGATAAAAAGAAGACAAATATTTGTTAGTACTGAAACTGTGTTTCCTCACACTTAGGTATGAAAATAGTTATTGAAAACCCTATGGAGCACAGTTCTACTTTGACACACATGGAGTCACCATTTGTCAGAATCTGCTGAACAGCAAATGGTTTGGTTTTGGTTTTTTTAGGTATTTAACCAAGATAAATGAAAACCTAAGTTTTATACTTAATTTTTCATAGTAGCTTTATTCATGATAGCCAAGATTTGAAATAACCCAAATGCCCATCAGCTGGTGAATGGATAGAGGAATTGTGTATATCCATACATGAGAATACTTCTCAATAAAAGGGAACAAACTTGATAAATGCAACAACATGGATGAATATCAAAAGCATTATACCAAGTGAAAGAAACTAGATACAAAAGAATACTTACTGTATGACTCCATTACATGAAAACTTAGAAAAGACAAAACTTTAGTGATAGAAAGTGGATGTGTGGTTGCTGAGGGTGGGGAAGGACGAAATGAATGCACTGTGAAAGGGCAAAAAACCTTTTGAGATGATAGAAATGTATATTGATTGTGGTGGAATTACAGTACCGTGCATTTATCAAAGCTCATCAAACTTAAAATTGGTGAATTTTATTATATGTGAATTATTCCTCAATGAGGCTGATGAAATGAAGAAAAAAAGTGTAATATAAAAATACACCCACTCAGCTATCAACCTGGTTAGGTTCTAAAGACCAGGTCTTTATGAGAAAATGGGCGTTATGTGAAAATGGAGGATGACTACATCATTACATAACTGCCAAATTACATTGCATAACTGCCAAACCACTGAGAATTAAGGCCCAGCCAAGTTGACACATAACCTAAACCATCACAGCCATCGTTACTCACTTCGCACCTCAGTGTTCATTATTGCAGGACATACATTGTTAATGCATAAAATAGATTTTTTACTATTGTCATAAATGTGGAATGTCAGATAACAAAATAGTCAATAAGTGAAGAGTATAGGAACAAATGTTCAAATAAGCCTTTTAAAATAAAAAGTCTCTTATTGTAGATCTGACAGCCTTTGTGGTTTGTTTAGGGCTTTTGGGTGCTGGGAAATACACTAAGGTGAAATTTGAAAATTTTTTCTGTGAATCTGCTTTTCATGCTCTTTAATAACCATGTAATTTTCATTACAGAAGAGGCTATATCTGGAAAAAAAATAGCATAAGTACTGAAAAATAGATCGTTCTGCCATTTATTCAAAGTGAATTTTTCTTTAAAATTCTTATTGACACCTACTCTGAGTTTACTAGGGCCCCAGGCTGTACCTCCAAATGGCCTGGCTTGCATTTCTTTGTTCCATGAGCACATACTGAGCACCTGATTGTACTGTCTCACACAGATATGCTAGTGGTCGTGCAGAGTAGGAAGAAAGGGTTGCAATGTTTTGGAGCAAATTTCTAACCAGTACTTTCTATGCACCATACTAGTACTTCCACTCCTACTGCCATTTAAAAGGAGGTTAAAAAAAAAAAAATGCAAATAATAGAAAAATTTAAAAAAAGGTAAGTAGAAAGAAAATAGAGTTAAAATTAGATAAAATCTTACCACCTAGTAACAGTCCTTATTAACACGTTTAATTATGTATTCTTCCTGACACATTTATTATGTACATCCTCATGCTAAACATTCTAACCATAACTATGTTTTAAAAATATGCAGATTTTTTAATGCCAATAAAATGCATCTAAGTCATTTTAATGTTTTTATAGCATTTCATTTTACCTAATCTAGTTAGCCTGGGCACTATTTTTCTTTTTTTAAATTTGGTTTGTTTCTAAGTTTTTAGCTGTCATAAATAACACTGTTATTAAAGTCAGGTTTATTAAAGAATAATTTACGTACAGTAAATTCACCCTTTTTAAGTGAACAATTCTATGAATATTGACAGATGCATACAGTCATGTAACCACTACCATAATGAAAATATAGAACATTCTCATCAGCCCAAAAAATTCCTTTGTGCCCCTTCGTAGGCAATCCCCTACCTCCATGCTCATCTGTTTTCTATCCTTGTAATTTTGCCTTTTCCAGAATGTCATGTAAGTGGAATCATAACAGTATAGAGCAAACAAAGCTCAGCATAATGCATTTGAAATTTATCCATTTTATATGTACTATTACTTCATTCCTTTTTATTGCTCAGTAGCATTGCATTGTGTGGATGTACCACAGTTTGTTTATCCATTCATCAGTTGATGAGTATTTAGGTCAATTCCAGTTTTTGGAAGACACTACCATAAAAAACACTTTAATGAGTATCTCTTTACGTGTATGATTACTTATTTCCTTAGGATTAATTCTAGGAAGTTAGAATCTCTGAATCAAAAACCATGTACTTTAAAAAAAAGCCTTGATAATATATTTCCAAGCTGTCGATCAGAAATGTATAAATTTTAATCACCAGCAGAATATGAGTGTTACATACTAATATCAATCAGGCATGGGAGAGGTGGTTAAAAGGTATTTTATTGCTATGTATTTCATTACTAAACTCATTTTTAAAAACTCCTTACGCATACACTCTACCAACAGTACGCCAGAGCCATCTTATATCTTAGAAAACTATACATTGTTATTAGTTTTGAGGATGAATAAATGCTTAGTTGACCCAATCTTGAGTTTTGTTTATTCTCCTAAGTAAGAATTAGTTGTGAGTATACTTGAATTCAAAATAGCAGTCTTTCCTGATCATGGAAATTGTGTGTTGGCCCATCATCTAACTCAGAGAAGCTGTAGCAAGTTGTTTGGCTCAGCCCTGCCTGCATGGCTTAGAGCCTTTGCATCTACAGGTCCTTTGCATTTTAGGTCTAGAGTAAGGATGAGTCGGAGTGGAGAGCACAAGAGTTGAGCTGGGGAACTGGGCTGAAGGCATGGGCAGAGGGCATGGGAGTGAGAATTGGGGAAAACAGATGATCACGTTTACGATAGAGTTGCCTTATTTTATTTGCAGTCAATTTGGAGTAAATAGTTGCCAACAGCATGGTCTTTGGGATCAGGTAAACCAGGGTTCCAGTCCCAGTTCTACCATTTACTAAGTAATGATGAATAAGTTATTAAGCCTCTCTAATTTATCAGTTTCCTTGTCTGTAAAATGGAGATGGTATTATTTACCTTGTAGGGTGGTTTTAAAAATTAAAAAACCAGTACCTAAAATTAGAACATCTTAAACAATATGTCGAATATTTTATTACTTATAATATTATATTTAATTCTTTCCAAATATCAGCCATAGCAAATGATGAATGTTCTCTTTCCAAAGCCAGAACATTAGCAGGGATGGAGTAACCTGTAATAGATTTATAGCTCCCGTTTTGGGGCAAGGCATGTTTAGAAATACTGTAATCTCTGGCTACATGCATATCAGAAAAAAAAATCCTGCTGTATCTCACCTTCTAAGCTAACCAAACTGCTTACAGCAATGTCATTTCATGTGCCTTATGTTACTGAATAGAGTGTAACTCTCTGCCTGTAATGAGATAAAGATTGTATATAACAGAAATTTACAGGATTTTAAATAATGACTTTTTTTTTTTTTGCAGGTTTATGACATGCTAAACACTGTGCAAAGTGCTTACCTGCATTTTCTTATTTAATTCTCACAATAACCGTCTGAGGTAGGCTCTATATTATGCCCATTTTACAGAAGGAATCTATTGCAACTTAAAGAAGTGAGCTAACTTGTCTCAAGTTATATAGGTAGTAACTTGTAGAAATAAGATTTGAACCCAGACCTACCACAGTTTAAGTTACTGACTACTATACTCTCCTTACCCACCTACTCAACTAAGTGTTTAAATGAGAAACACTTCTGCATGCTACAGAGTACCAGATTAGAAAGAAGCCAAATATGTAAAAAAAAAAAAAAAAATGAAAGGAAGAAAAGCAAAGCATCCCATGCTTACGAAAATACCTCATTGGGGGAGGGGGTGGTTGGCAAACAAATGGAGAAGGCATGTGTTATTTGCATAAAAATATGGTAATTCATTTCTTTATGATTTATCCTTCCATGAGTCTTGCAGTTAGAAGGGCAAGATCATATCTCCCTCACATTACAAACACAGGGTGTTTAAAGCTGAAAAGTAGGTACTTATTCTTTTTTTCCTAGAAATATTCACATTATTTTTAAGTACCACCCTGATGTTAAATAACACATAAGATCAAGTACACATTAAAGAGTAAAAACAACTTGGAGCAGAAGTTAGTGAGATTATTTGCATTGATATAGATAATTTTTAATTAAAATGTTCTTGAGAATATCTACTGACTTATTTTTAATAGTTAAAACTACAACTTGAGTTATAAGAAACTGATAAATTTGGGATTGAATTTGCATGTTATACTCATGGTTAGAAGGATGTCAAGCAATAAGTGGGGAACAGATTCCAAAAGCCTCATGCTGGAACCAAGGACTCCTTGTGCAGGCTCAGGATGGTTGCCTCACCAAACTGGAAAATGGAAGCAACCGTGACTAGACCTGAGCCTAGATGAATCACTATGAAGACTTTTATTTACAAATGTATTATTAACTTGCTGTTAAATAATAGAGGCACTCAGCTGATCCAGCTTTATTTGTGAATTTAGTTTAATACCTCCCCAACCATTTTAGAAGCAAATACATCGATGGCAGAGTCAATGTTGCAACTCTTACTAAAAAGCCAATTTGCTTTTCTAAATGGTTGTATTTATGCCAACTTGTTGAAACCATGATGAGTTAGATTATGTTAAGTGTTATGTTCAAACAGGTTTTGAATGTGAAAGGGGATTACCAGGTGAAAGATTCTTTAAAATATTGATTGAATGAGTTAACTTCTAGGTAGAACCCACTACACTGATTGGAAGATGGAATGCATTTTAATTACCTTACTCTGCTGGTATATGTTAGTGCATATGCAACATAAAACTACCTGTAGAAACCAGTTTGCGAGGTTTTATGTTGCATAACCTATGACTTGGTTTCAAGTAGCAATACAAGGGAATTTAGTCAAGCCATTTGTACATGTGTAAGCTTCATTAACTTAAGTGTGCTAATTTGGGTTTATTATGAAATTATAATTTTATATGTGTATTTCTTTGGGAAGAAGGACCAAATTTAAAAATGTGAAGTTTTAAATACATATTTAATACTGTGACAGGGATAATAGAAGACAGCCTTGAAAACAATTTCTAAATGGGCTTTTAAGAGATATAAACTGGGAACTTCTGTCTTCATAGACTAAGTATAACACAGTTATATAGAGATCCAAACAATATTAAACTTGAAACCACAATATATTGCAAAACAATGTTGGCAAAACAAAGATTAATTAACACATTATCGATAAGATAGTAGACATTATAAATAGTATAAAGACACACCTTAAATATTTTTAATAAGTGGAGTGTGCATTGAATACAGACTGTGCATTGAATACAGATGAGAGCAATTGTTGTTGTAATTGTTGTTGTTGGGTACTGTGGAATTGGCTCTGACTCATAGCAAACTTATGTATAACAGAAGGAAACATTGCCAAGTCCTGTGCCATCTTCACAGTCTTGCTATGTTTGAGCACATTGTTGCAGCCAGTGTGTCAGTCCATCTCATTGAGAGTCTTCCTCTTTATTGCTGACCCTCTACATTGATTCCAAAGAAAATTTCTTGAAGGAGATTTGAAAACTGGTCATGGAAGGATAGACATGAGCATAAAGATTCCAAGCAGAGCTAGCAGCTGCTTTAGCAAAAAGGCCAGATGGGACAGGATTCAGAGAATGTTCAGAAAAATGGTGAGTGGTGGGAGTATGTTGGAAGATGAGGTGCATGGGAGGAATGTAGAAGAAGATAGTCTAAAAAGAAAGGTAGGGATCAAATAGTGGATTGCTTTGAATGTCAGGCTGAGTTTATAATCTTTGCTGTTGGAGAAGGGAAGCTTAGAATATTTGATGAGGGTAGTGGATAATGGGACTTGGGGAAATAATTCTGAAGGGAGGGAGAATGATCAGAGGAAAGTAGAGTACTGCAAAAGTTCAGATGAGAGAGAATGTAGGATCCAGTAGGGTGGTGCCAATGGGCAGAGAAAGGAAGTCAAGAGACAGTTCAAAGGTAAACTCTACAAGATTTGATAAGGGCAGTGAGGGAGAGAGTCAAGTCTACTTTGTGGTTTGGAGTGTGAAAGGCTATGTGGCAGTTTTAAAGATGACCACAAATTTCTTGACACTCCTCCCATTGACAGTAGGGGTCTAATTTTCTCTTCTTGAATCTGGGGCTGGCCTTAGTGATTCAGTTATAACCAATGGACTGTGGATGAGGTGACACCACAGAACTTCTGAGGCTAGATCAGAAAAAAGCATGTTGCTTCTGCATTGTGATGGAAAATTTTATGTGTCAACTTGGCTAGGTTATAGTGCCCAGTGTTTGGTCAAACACTAGTCTAGATGCTTCTAGATGCTGTTGTGAAGTAGCTACATGTGATTAAATCAGTTGACCTTAATTAAAGCAGTTACCTTCCATAATGTGGGCAGGCCTCACCAATCAGTTGAAGGCCTTAACAGCAAAGAGGGAGTTTTCCCTAGGTTGTATTCTGCCTCTGGACTATAAATAGACAGGTTGCCAGGACTCTTCACTCTTCCCCCTCACCTGACCTACAAATTTTGGGACACAGGACTATAGGAAGCTTCAGCCTGTTGCCTGACCTACAGATTTTGGACTTGGCAGTCCCCAACAATCGTATGAGCCAGTTCCTTAAATCAATTAACATCTCTCTTTCTCTTCCTCTCTCCACGCCCACTCCCCATCTGTCTCTCTCTCTTTATGTGTATATACATCTTTCTGATTGTGTTTCTCTAGAGAACCCTGATTAAGACAGCTGTGTTTGTTGGACATGTATTGTGGGGCACACGTAGGCGCTCTGGTCCACAGTCCAGGCAGAGCCTAACCCTTGTGTCATTCTAGCCTAGGCGCAGACGTGTGAGTAAAAACCTTCAGATGATTCCGGCCCCAGCCATTTGAGTCTCCTCAGCTGACACCCCAGGCCTTGCAGAGCAGACAAGCCATCCTGTGGTGCCCTCTGCATTCCTGACTCACACAGTCTGGGAGCATAATAGGACGGTTGCTGTTTTATGTCTTTAAACTTGGGGTGTTTCGTTAAACAGCAATAAATAACTGACTAGATGCCATTAACAGGAATAAGAACGGAGGCAGCTGTTTTGATGAGTATGGCACGCCTGCAAGGCATCTATGCAAGTATTTGGAAACGTGAGTCTACAGCTTAGGAGGGAAGTTCAGACCAGAAACCTAAATTTAGTAATCGTTTGTGTAGTGGTGATAACTGAAAAAGTGAAAGAAGGTGAGCCAACCAAGGAAGTGCACGTCATGCCATGAGACTGAACTTGGGGACAGAAAAATGAGCACGAAAAAGGGTGTCATGGAAGGAGGCTGAGAAGCAGCTCACTGGACACATGGAATAGGGAAAAAGGAAACAGAAAAGGACAAAGTGGCTGTGATTATAATAGGGGTTAAAATGCTACAATAGCTACGTTTCTAAATGTAAGAGAACATACTAAAATAATACATGTCTGTTAACATGTTTGATAAATTGGGAATTAAATTCAATTTAAAAAAAAAGATCCTAGTCCATAAATTACTAAGGTCTTCTTAGGCACTAAAATTTAGACAATAAAATTATTTCCAGTAACATTCCAGTGTGTATCTCTAGTTTCTTGTTGCCCTCAAATATGAAATTCTTGAAAGAACCAGTAGGGGGAGCAGGCGTGCTCAAAAAAATGGAATTCCCGGTTTACGAAGAAAAGCAAATTAGAGGTATAAAAATTAGTACAGAAGAGGTAAAACAATAAAAACAAAAATCTAGAAACAACCCAACTTTAATCAATAATAGGATATATAAATATATATAACATATGTATATGTCTTATAGAGTCTATAAATAAATTTATTAAATAAATTCATATATGTCATATATATATAGATATATGATAAAAAACCAAAAATCCAAACCCAGTGCAGTCGAGTCAATTCCGACCCATAGCGACCTATAGGACAGAGTAGAACTGCCCCATAGAGTTTCCAAGGCTGTAATCTTTAGGAAGCAGACTGCCACACCTTTCTCGCACAGAGCAGCTGGTGGGTTCGAAACCGCTGACCTTTTGGTTAGCAGCTGAGTGCTTAACCACTGCATCACCGGGGCTCCTTATGTAAGACAGAGCAGTGAAAATTAATGTGGATGAATCTCACAAACGTAATATTGAGTGAAAAAAGCAACCTGCAGCATAATACAGACAGTACAATTTGATTTGTATAAAATTCAGTAGATGCAAAGTTAGGCCATAGATTGTTTAGAGATACACATAGGTGACAAAACTCTAATAAAAAAATTCAAGGGTGGGGAATGAGATTGAGGCAGGGCTCACCCAGGGCTTCAAAGTAGTTGGTAGTGTTGTATTTTTTGAGCTAGGTGCTGGTATACAAGTGGCCGTTTCAATACTTCAGTATCTCAATAGAATATTTCTTAAAATCTTACTCCTGTTTTCTAAATATTAATATGTATATACTAAATATTTAATCAAAATCCTTTTAAATCAGGATCAGAAAAGCTGTCTTACTCTGATACCAACTTGTACCTCT